ATTGTGAGATTTACGTGACTACATAAGCCTGCAGCTAAAATACCTGCAGATGCAAAATAAGTGTCAAAGTCATTACATTTCAGCCCAGCAAGAAGTGGTTTGAAAACTCTTAAAAACAAATTCCATCGGTCTGGTATAAAATTCCCAGGGGCAGATGGGAAACTGCGTGAGAAGCTGCGGCTCCCCAGCGAAACCGCTTTGTTAAAGCGATTGAAGAACGAGTGTTAGAAAAGGGCCGCCTGTGTGCGTCCTGCGGGCACGCGGAAACCGCGGTGCCGAGGTGCTGCGCTTGGCAGGGGCTGGCCAGCCAGCTGTGAACGTAGGTGACAGCACACAGGTGTGTGAAACCCTTCAGTTGTGGCACTGAATGCTCATGGCCTTGGCTCCTTTTAGGTCTGGAGTTACGGACCGAGCAGAGCAAGCCTCAGGACGCCTCCTGCCTGCCGGCGCTGAAAGTGTCGGACATCGAGCCCACCATGCCCATCACGGAGCTGCACGTGGTCATGGCAGGTCACTGTCCTCTTCCCGTGTGCTCGGTTCCTCAGTGGCATTAAATGCCAGGCCCCACGGGAAAAGCGGGGTCACGTTTTAGATATTTCGTGTAGAACGCCTGAGCGTCCCCATTCATTTACAGTCCGGTTTCCGTGGGGCCTTGAACGTGTCCTAACGTTCAGTGACGGTGGCCCTCTGTACTCAGAGCCCGAGTCTGTGTCCTTGTCTCACGTGGATCAGATAGGTCGTTGTCAGTTGCAGCGGTAGGGTCAGACGAGGGTTTGGGCTGTGTGTGGCAACACGGGCATCCTCGGAGCCCTGAGTCCACTCTCTTCCGCCCCAGGCAGCGTAGCTAGCGGACAGGAGCTGTGGGTGGGGTATGGGTGGCGGCGGTTATGAAGGGAGCTGAGGCCGCTTTTATGCCCTGACTGTCCCTGGTGTCTCGTCCTGCCGCCCCAACTGTCCTACTCTGCCCGCTGGGTGGTGGCGTGAGAGGCAGTTTCCCTGGAGGGGCTGAGCCTGGGCTCCTCAGGGGCCTGGCCAGGTTTATTGAGGCGACGACAGCTGGTGCTTCAACTCGGCCACCGAGGGCAGGAGTTTAGATTGCCTGGGCGTCCCTGTTTCCTGGGCAACATCTCTACCTGCCTGTAGTGTTTTAGCAGTGCTTGTGCTTACCATGTCTGATTTAGTTGTGTGCATGCATGTGTTTCTGTGTATGCAAGTGAAATCTGTCTTCTGGAAATCAAGGTTAATATCCCACCGGTCTTTTAATGCCCCATAGTTTCTATTTGTCAGTGACTTTCCGTAAGTGTTCATTAGGAGGGTGAGTGAAGGTGAATCCACCATCAGGATGTGCTCGGGGCTTCTCCTGGTTCAGGGCCCCGTGCCCGGCAGGGCTGTGCAGATGGAACACCCCATGCCCGCTCTAGGCCTGGAGGGGACCCGCAGCCACCCAGGGCCACCTGGGCTGCAGCAGGGCCCAAGGAAGGCGGGACCTGTGGGGAAGGGGACCGGTTTGGGTGGGTGAGACGGTGGGGCCCGATGTCTCCGGAGTGGCACTGGGTGAAGGTGGGTGGGGTGGAAAGAACCGGGTGCCCCCTGCCCTGTTAGGAAGCTGGAAAAACAGGCTTCCATTCTTCCTCTCTCATTCTTCAAAAAGCAAGCGTTACTTTAGTAATAACTACTGTTTCAGTTTTCTATCATAATGAGGGTATAATTTATATACCTTCAAAAAGGAAATTTATGTAATTTGTAGCAAGTGAATAGTATTTTCTTGCTAATACAAGTTTTAAACCTCCATCCTCGAAAAGCAGTAGCGTTATTTCTTAAATATTAGCGTGGTTAATGTTGTACTAGTAATGACAAGAGCCATCAAATCACTCTTGCCTTTCCAGCCGGAGACACCCCTGTCCAGTACTGTGCGCAGCCCACCAACGGCGTGGTCTACTTCCGGGCCTTCTCCAGCCTGAACACGCTTCCCGAGGAGCTGAGGCCCTACGTGCCTCTCTTCTGCAGCGTCCTCACCAAGTACGATGAAGACACACACGTGCTCGTATAGTTCACACGTCTCCGTGTGTTTTACTAATACATACTTTCTACATGTCTGTATTGTTTCAGTGCACTAATAGTAATACCTTACCATATATTGGTTTAGAATTTTTTTTAATGAGGATTATGTTTTCCTTCTATGTCACATTAAAATACTTATGGAGCGGCCGGACGTGGTGGCTCACGCCTATAATCCTAGCACTCTGGGAGGGAGGCAGGCAGATTGCTCGAGGTCAGGAGTTCGAAACCAGCCTGAGCAAGATCGAGACCCCATCTCTACTGAAAATATAAAGAAATTAATTGGTCAACTAATATATAGAAAAAATTAGCCGGGCATGGTGGCACATGCCTATAGTCCTAGCTACTCGGGAGGCTGAGGCAGAAGGATTGCTTGAGCCCAGGAGTCTGAGGTTGCTGTGAGCTAGGCTGACGCCACGGAACTCACTCTAGCCTGGGCAACAAAGCGAGACTCTGTCTCAAAAAAAAAAAAAAAAAATACTTATGGACCTAGAATATAGGTAATACAGCAATAGTAACCTGATAATATCTTGGAGAATAATGGCTGTTAATCAGAAAGGTAGTTACCTGGCACGGTAGGCAGGCTGTCCTGAACACCCGCCCCTGCGCCCTCCCCGTAGGCAGGTGTCCGTGGTGGGTAGATGTGGGGATACGCACGCTGCACACGCAGCCATGTGTCCCTTCCCCTCTGCCCTGTGTCTGTGCTGAGGGTGACAGGACAGGCTGTGGGCAGGGCTGTGGCTTCCCTTCCCGTTCCAGGAGCACAGTAGGTGAGAGACCAGGCAGGAGCTGGGGGTCTCTGGCCACCTCCCGAACTTGCCGGCCTCCCTTCCTGCGGAAAGCCTCGCCGGTGCCGAGCGGACTGGTGTCCTCTTAGGAACGAGAAAGGCTCAGTCCTCAGATTTTCCCCCAGACCACCAGATGTCTGAGCAGATGAAGCACGTGTCGGAGGGCTGTGTGAGAGGAGGGCGAGGGGCACTCAGAGGACACCTAAAGCTCGGGATAGACACATGCGTGCTAGAATTTTATTTTTGTGCAGACCCTGGCCGCCCAGGTGCAGGTGGCCCGGACGCTGTCAGTGGGTCCCCGAGCGAGAGGTCCTGGTTCCACCTGGGGGAGAATGCCGTGAACACTCTGGAGGGCTGATGCCAGTGTCATCGTGTTTTATAACCTGCATGGTGTGAAAAGAGAGATTTTAAAGCTGTGTGTATTTAGTTTAAACAACTTGTAATTCAAGATGCATGATCTTTAAAATGACCTGGCAAAGGCTACCTTGGTAATCGAGGGAAACCTCTCTGCCGTGTCAGGATGGGCTGTGGCAGCCTGGACTACAGACAACAGGCTCAGCAGATGGAGCTGAAGACGGGGGGCATGACCGTGTCCCCCCACGTGCTCCCCGACGACTCCCACCTGGACACCTACGAGCAGGTAGCCTTTATTTCTAGGATTGCACCTGTGCTGAAAAGTTTGCTTCTCCAGTGAATTTTTTTTTAAATTATGCTGCAATTAATTTCTTCTTTTGTATTTTTTTTTTCCCTTCCATGATTTAGGGTGTGCTGTTTTCATCTCTCTGCCTGGATCGGAACCTACCAGACATGATGCATCTGTGGACTGAAATATTTAACAGGTAACTTCATTTGCAGATGACGTTATTAATTCCTGGGGTGCGGTGGAGATTTTAGTCTGAAGTGTGTCGTAAAGCAGACTGTGCTTGTGTTGTTGATTCCCCAAGCCTGATCTCTCTCGTGTAATTTCTGAGGTGGTTGAAACGGTCGGAAAACTTACACTCAGTACGTTCTCCGTGGTGTGTTAATAGAAGGGGGCGCGGCTGGGTGTGCAGGAGCCCGTTCTGTTCGCTGCCCACAGCCCGCGCTTGGAGGAAGAGGACCGCTTCAGGGTGCTGGTCAGGATGACCGCTCAGGAGCTCTCCAACGGGGTGCCGGACTCCGGGCACCTCTATGCGGCCATCAGAGCGGGCAGCAGCCTCACGCCCGCGGGGGGCCTGCAGGAGACCTTTGGCGGCATGGATCAGGTGGGACGCGGTGAGGACAACGAGCGTGCTGTTCCGGCTTGGCCGGGTCCTGCAGGGCCGCTTGTGTTCTCTGGGAATAAGTTATTTATATCTCAGAAAAGCTTATCAACCACATTGCATGGGGAAATACTGTTCTTTTTTTAGCTCACTTTCCTCCTTGTACCACCCAGCCCCACCCCCACCCCGTCCCCCATGCCGGGCACTGAGCCCCTGGCCGAGCAGGGCTCTGAGGTTGAGGGTGTCTAGTCTCCAGCCGGGAGGTCCATCGTGGTCTCTGTCCCTGGGTTCCTCTGGTCCAGGTGAGGCTGATGAAGAGTGTCTCGGAAATGGCGGACATCACGCCGGTCCTGAGAAAGCTCCCGCTCATCCAGAAGCATCTGCTGAACTGCAATAACATGAGGTGGGTTCCCGGCTCCTGTCTAGACAGACCTCACGGCTCCTTCCATTTCACTGAGTGTGGTGTTAGATGTTTTCTGCTTGAAGTTGCAGTTACATACACTTACCTTCAAGACAGAAGGAGTGCTTGGTAAAGTGTAGGTCATGGAACTGATTCTAGACTTCAAATGTTCTTTTTTCTTGAGATAGTCTTGCTCTGCATCCCGGGCTAGAGTGCCATGGCGTCAGCCTAGCTCACAGCAACCTCAAACTCCTGGGCTCAAGCTATCCTCCTGCCTCAGCCTCCCGAGTAGCTGGGACTACAGGCATGCACCACCATCCCGGCTAATTGTTTCTATATATTCTTTTTCAGTTGGCCAATTAATTTCTTTACATTTTTTTGGTAGAGACAGGGTCTCGCTCTTGCTCAGGCTGGTTTGAACTCCTGACCTTGAGCGATCCTCCCACCTCGGCCTCTCAGAATACTGGGATTACAGGTGTGGGACACCGCGCCCGGCCACTTCATATGTTCTTATTAGCTAAGAAATCATTTTCTATGGGAAAAAAAGAAAAGAATAGTATTTTAAGTTCCATAAAAGTAGTGCGAGGTGGGGAAGAGAGCAAGCTATTTTATCCTAGAAGTGCAAATAGATACACTCAGGGCAAATATTTGAAGTTATTTTGCTCCCGAAACCAAGTGATCCATAGGGGAGGCATGAGTGGGGGCCCCAGAGCAATAGGCCAGTGTGGAAGTCTGTGTCTGTGGGAGTGAAGTCACGCGGTGGCTTGAGGATGTCTGCCAGCTTAGGCGCCTCCTGCCCTCAGCAAACGGGAATGAAATTTAAAAATATATATATAAATTTTTTTTAAGCATAAATCTGTTGTTTATTCTGTTATATACTCATTATTGGTGGGTATACAGATTGGAGGTATTATAACCTTTATAAAAATTTTTTTTATATTCTCACCTGTGAGTTTTTTTTTTCTAGCATATTATGGGCGTACAAATGTTAAGGTTATGTATATTGCCCGTGCCCCCCCCTCCCACCCACCCGACACCCAATAGATGTTACTCCTATATGTCCACTTAGGTGCTGATCTGTTAATACCAATTTGCTGGTGAGCGCATGTGGTGCTGGGTTTTCCATTCTTGGGATACTTCACTTAGTAGAATGGGTTCCAGCTCTATCCAGGAATATACAAGAGGTGCTCTATCACCGTTGTTTCTGAAAGCTGAATAGTACTCCATGGTATACACATACCACATTTCCTTAATCCACTCATGTATTGATGGGCAACTGGGAAATTTAAAAATGTTAAGTTTGTCACCAGCACCTTCCTGTCAGATTCACTGATTAGTATTCAATGATGATCAATAAGAAAACGTTTGTCTAAGCCACTTGTTCTTCATGGAGTCCTGGCACCTCTCCCGGTCAGTTATGAGGCTCTCCGGCAAGTTCTACAGGACGGTCTGTGTGTAGCAGGAGGCGGCCTGGTGGTCGGTTCCCCGGAGGCTCCGGTCAGGCCTCGGGAGCTAGGCTGTCCTTTGAGCTTACACCCAGGCCCTGGGCGGCTTCACCCCTGGATCTTCTCCCAGGAGCCCAGCTTTGCGGGTTTATCGAAAGAGATGAGAGAATTCATTACGCAGGGCTGCTGGCCTGGGCTGGAGCATTAATGGTACCTGCTGCTAATTCAGCTGAAATAAATTTAAGGTTTAGGGCCACGGAGAGAATTATACATACTCTGTCAATATGTTATAGAGTCCAAGTAAATTTTATAGGACAGTATTTGTGATTCTGTAGAATTTGGGAGTTCTATTTTTATATGATCTTGAGAGCATGACAACTTTGGGGCACTTTATAATTTTCTGTTTTAGCAACCAGTTCACATTTTCAAAGTGTTGACTTCTTTTCTGAACAGTAATTCTGAAATTTCTGGTCTCTGACACGTAAGTGTGAAGGCCTTGTCAGCAGGCCGTAGTGTTCTCTGCCTTCGGAACCCCTCTGAGGAACGAGGTCCGGGCGGCGGCGCCATCTTGCGTCTCAGCTGCTGTGAGCCAGGCGCACTGACGCTGTGGTGACTCGAGCTTGTAGGGAAGGAAGACGGCTGAGTCAGCTCAACATTTGGCTCCTGTTGTTTCTTTTTAACGTTCTTGCGTATTATTTCATACAAAAACCACGTAGTAATTTTTTGTGTTATTTATACAAACGTGACGGATTAGTAGAACAGGTCTTTCAACACTAATAATTTCACGTGTGCGCAATTTTTAAACAGATGCTCCGTGAACGCCACCCCACAGCAGATGGCGCCGGCGGAGCAGGCGGTGGGGAGCTTCCTCAGGAGCCTCAGGCGCAGCCAGCGGGAGCCCGCACACCCCCACGTGGTCGAGGTAATGCCGATGCGAGGCTGGGCGCCCAGCGGTAACGGCCTGTCCTCATCTTGCACACATATGACCCATCCCAGGTCTCGGGGCACCCAGTGCGCAGGCGTTAATGCCCCGCCGTGCACCGAGAGGCTGAGGTTCGGGAGGGCCGAGTAGCTGGCCCTGCACTGGCCCCGTGGGGACGGGGACTCGAACCCCGAGGTGTGGCCTTGACACCGAGTCCGCTTGCTCTCTTGCTCATGCCTAGTGGCGCGCAGTCTCCCTGCGGGACACGGTGCCCTGAGCAGGTCTGACTCTGCCGTCTGTGCGGCTTTGGGGGACACGGGTCGTCACGGCCGTTTCGCTGTGACTCGTTGGCTCATGGATTGTTCTCTGATCACTAAGCTGGTGAACTCGATTAATTAACAGAGTGGGTTTTAATCCAATACACAGTGTCACCTCTCAGGGGAGAGGGTGGCAGTCTGTGGGTTCTGCAGAGAGTGGTTTCTGACGTGCACACATCCCTTGTCCCCTCGAGGCCCGGTCTCCCTGCAGGCCTGGGAGCGGCGCCCACGTGCGGGGCACCACGGCCCGGGTGCTTCACTCGGCCTATCATCCGGGAGCAGTTTTATCAGTAGACATTGCAGGAGGAGGAACAAGGCTTAAAATAAAATTTTCTTTGTGATGTACAAAGACTTCTTTTCCAGAACTATCTGAAAATCTATTAAAATTTCTTTTTTAAAGCATTAACAAATTAAAACACTTGTTATTAAAACATAAAAAGCAGCGTTAGAGCGGATTTGTTTATATCAGTTTTGTGGACCTTATGAAAATGTGTATCTTCTTACCTATCTTGTGCGAGCTGTGAATTTTTCTCATTTCTCTCGGAAACGTTGTTTTCAGAAACCTGCGCACGGCGGCTCTGACGGAAACCGACAGGCCTGTGGCTCCCAGATGGTCAGAAAGCTGATCACAGTGAGTCGCGTGACCGATGCGGGCCTCTCGCAGCTGTCTGACTGTGCGTGTCCCGTGAGCCCTTCCGGGGGCTGGCGTGGGCCTGGAGCCGTGAGCGAGTTGTGTCTTTGTCTCTGCCTCCCCGAGCCTCGCTGAGACAGCGCTGAGCGAGTGCCCTGCTCGTGGGTGGGTGTAGCTCGTGCTCAGGAGGACGTTGCTGCTCCAGGTGGTCCCGCTGCCTTGCGGCTCACCTTCACGTGGATGCAGCTTGTGAGCATCTCTCGGCTCACTGGGCTCTGCGATGGTGCCGTTTGCTTTGGCTCATCGTAGCCCGTGGCAGTTTACCATGCTTCGGAGGATCAGCCACGATGTAATGACGCAGAATGAAATGTCCTTAACGGAATAGTAAATTTCAAAGGCGCCGTGTCCAGTTTGGAATATTTCACGTGGATTTTAAAGCGGGCAGAGCGCCTGCAGGCCGTGCGGCCCCCCTGACGCTCCTGCCTCTGTCTCGCAGGACCCCGCCTTCAAGCCCTGCCCGACGAAGACCCACTTCCTGCTGCCCTTCGCCGTGAACTACGTGGGCGAGTGCGTCCGGACGGTCCCCTACTCGAATCCGGACCATGCCAGGTGGGCGGCGGTGGCAGGCATCTCTCCCGGGGCTGCGCCTCAGTGGGGAAGTTTGTCGGGGTGTTAGACGGTGACGAGGCATGTCCGTCGCAGGAGGCCGTTGCGCTGACACGAGGGCTGGGCTCCACGTCCCGTGCTGCTGCCCTGCCACTGCAGGGTCCGCCCTCCCCGCACCTGGCCAGCAAGGGCCCACGGCAGAGCAGAGACCCCGAGTGGTCTCATCACAGCCAGGTCCTTGCAAAGCAAATGCCCGGCTTTCTAGCCACTCAGTTCTATAGGTGACAGGGATCCCTCAAGTCCTGTAACAAAACAGAAAGGCGGACATGGCCCTCAACACAGACTCCCGTCAAATGCCCAGTTCACTCGCCTCATCTGCAGGTGCAGATGGTGTACATTAGCGCCGAGACTTTCTGACAAATGGGCAAACTGTCCCGTGTGCTTGCGTTTGGACTCCCCGGCTGCCCCGCAGAGCCACCATGGCCGGGGCACAGAAGCCACGGGACGGAGTGGCTGGACTTGGGGAGCCTGACCCGAGCGGGGCCTGCAGGGGAGGCCCAGGGAGAAGGCCGGGCTGTGGCAGGGTCCAGTGGGGGGCAGGATGGAGACAGGTGTGGCCCTCAGAGCAGGCTGGGATCCGGAGCCTGTCCCAGAGTCCCTCTGAGAGCTCAGCTCCCGTCTCCATGCTCATGTCGGGGGCGGGGAGGGGAGGCCCTGGTTTGAGTGGCGGCAGCCATGGCGGAGGGTGGGTCAGGACACTCCCAGAACAGCTGGGAAGGCAGCAGTTTGCAGTGGGCAGTCGGCGCCACCTGACCTGTGGCTGCCACACACCCGTGCCAGGTCCTGGGGAAACCGGCCGGGCCAGGAGAAAAGCCCCCAGACATGCACCCTTGGGAGTCCACCACTTGGGGTGTGGTGTTTCCCACAAATTCCCCTCCTGTGCCCACTGTCTCGGGCAGCTACGCCCGTGAGGGACTGAAGGGAGAGCTGAGGACCCCGCCCAGCAGAGCGGCCAGCCCCAGGAGAGGAGGACCTGGCCCCCGTGAGGACGCCTGTCCTGGCGTGGCCGGGTGGAGCCGGGGGCGGGCTAAGCTTTCTAGAACCATCCTTTCCCCAGAGGCTGGGCCGTCACCGTTCCCAGTGGGCGTCAGCAGAACGGGCTGTGTTGGAGCTGTGTTTTCCTAAGGGCACCTGTGAAAACCCACCCAAGAGGTGGACTGGAGTTTTTTTGCCCAGATTCTGATGTGAGTCATTTACACATAAATGACCGTGTGCGCATTTGCCCTCGCAGCAAAAATTAACAACTCCTTACTTTATCAGGCATAAAACGTGCCCCACATGTCTAACAAGCTGGGCGTGCAGAGTGCTGCATCTGCAGGCAGCGTCTGCGCTCTCCAGCCCGGACTGCCCGAGACTGGAAACTCTTCTCACGTGTTGGTTTTGTTCATTAAAGACAAAACGCCTTGGTGGGACCGTGATGCACATCATGTCACTTCACAACTGGATCCTCGTGTTTGCTTCGTCAGTTACGCCCTGGACGTCTCTTCCGATCACTTCGTGTTGTATGTGATGCTCTCCTGTCATCATGCTTCCATGTTGTTAACCTGCGTTGTTTAATCAATTTCAGTCTCAAGATACTCGCACGTTTGATGACGGCTAAGTTCCTGCACACGGAAATTCGGGAAAAAGGCGGCGCCTACGGCGGGGGCGCCAAGCTCAGCCACAGCGGGGTGTTCACGCTTTACTCCTACAGGTGAGCCGCCCTCCTCTTTACCTTAGGTATGCCGTGTAGGAGAGACCGTGTAGGTGGTGTTCGGTACCATCTGAGGTTTCAGGCTTCTCCTGGGGGTCTTTCCCTGATCAGGGGGCTGGCTGTACAACCCGAGAGCTTTCTGAGCCCATTTCAGTTGCAGAGGCCTAAGGAGATCTGTTTTCATAGACACAAGACTATTGCCCTTTTACGTAGAGCAATTCCAATTTTCTGTGGCCTTGCTGCCTAAGATGACAGGTGTTCTGGTACCTCAGGACAAGGTGGGCGGTTTGCCTGGCGGGTGCGGCCTCCTGGCTCCTATGGCTTCAGCCCTGCAGCCTCACGGGGCATGTCCTCGTGGAGCTGCTTCCGCATGACAGGTTTCTACAGAGCGGTTGGCTTTCCCAGTGGCCACTGGACTGTCAAGTGTCAGAACGGAGCCATTAACAAACAAAACGTTGGAGAACCATTAAGTCAACACACGGTTGCCGTTCCTTTATCCGTCCATAAAATGCTTGAATGTGTAACTCTGGGTTTTCCAGGGATCCGAATTCCGTGGAAACACTCCAGGCCTTCAGGAAGGCCGTGGACTGGGCCAAATCCGGGAAGTTCACGCAGCAGGACATCGACGAAGCCAAGCTGTCCGTCTTTGCGAGCGTGGACGCTCCCGTCGCACCCTCAGACAAAGGTACTGAGTACGTGACAGAACCGCAACGGGGCTCTCACCAGGCAGCGGCTCACACACGCGTGCTGGGTCACTCGTGCCTGTGGGCCACAGGGGTGGTGGCCCCGTTGTTCCTGCTTCTTCCACCTCCCTGTCCTCTGTCCTACGATTTTACACACCCTAAACATCCACCTTGAAAACTCGCTTCTCCTCCAGGCAAGAGCATCTTAGAGGATGCCATTTCAGAGCTTGCGTGACCCAACGCCTGGCCACAGCGGCGAGACTCGCTCTTTGGGTCGCGGCGCCACATCTGGACATGCACGAGAGCGGCCTCGTGGCTCTGCCCTCGGTGTCCCCGGCCTCGCCAGTGCCTGCCGACTCTGATCCGGACTCCGGGCAGGAGCTGCGGCACTGGAGTCCCCCCTGGCGGGGGCAGCCATGCCACCCGTGCGTGCGCTCTGTCTTCCAGGCATGGACCACTTCCTGTACGGGCTCTCGAACGAGGCGAAGCAGGTGCACAGGGAGCGGCTCTTCGCGGTCACCCGAGACAGCTTGGTCGCTGTGAGCCACGCGTGAGTGTGGGGCCCATGTGCATGTGCAGGGAGGGAGGGGGGACTCCGCCTGGTCCCAGTGGAAGGGGTCCCGACCTCCCCCGCCTCTCCCACGCAGGTACCTGGGCACCGCGAGCAGCACGCGCAGCTGGGCCATCCTGGGACCGGAGAACGCGGAGATCGCCAAGGACCCGTCGTGGGTCACGCGGTAGCTCCCCCCAGCACTCCTGCCTGCGCTCGGGAGCCAGGCCGAACCCACGCTGGTTCTCAGACCTTAGGTCTCTGGGCCACATTTAATTCGAAAGGTCAGAGATGCTACTGCTTTTCCCCACAATCTTAACGGCATCCTTAAGATTTTGCCAAAGGTTTTATTAACTGGCAAGTCAGAAAAAAACCTGTCTTAAAGGAGGAGATGCAGTGACCGTGGAGAAATTGAAGTAATCATGTGTCGAATGTGCATAGATGCACAAATTAGAATTTTAAAGCTTTCTAGTGATATGCTTATTTTATCCTTATCACGAAATATTTATTTTAAGAACTTAAAAATAAAGGGCAGCTGTGACCTGTGCTGCAGTCATTGTGCTGGGGTGCGGTGTGGGTCAGCGCCTTCCCTGCACAGGGAGGACTGGGCCGAGCAGGGACGACCAGCTCCAGCGTCTGCCTGCGCCCGCCCGGCGCAAGAGCCTCCCTGACGGGTGTGGGCGGAGCAGGGTGGCCCGGTGGGTTGTGATCAGTCAGCCCTTCCCTCGTCGTGCTGTCCTCAGGTTTCCCAAGCAGAACTTACCTTTACCCTCTTCCCCTCCCTGTGGCTTTTCCCCCCTTTCTGAGGCGCGCACCTGGACATCACACCTGCGTGTGTGTGTTGGGGGGTGCTCCAGGAGCCCCAGCCCTGTCCGAGGTGCCAGCCCAGGTCCCACCCCGGACAGCGAGTGGCTGGAGGAGAACTCTCAGGTATCGGAGTCTTTTAAAGTCCCCCCACCTTGGTGACTTGAATACGCAGCAGCTGGGATTGAACTCAGGCGTGTGTGGAGGGGGCTCCCGTATTAAGGTACGCATTCTTCTCTTTCACCTCTGACCTCTATGCCTCACCTCACTTAGAACAGGAGCCGGGCATAGGGTGACCCACCTGCCTGCGTAGTCACCCTCCATAGCTGAGCCTGGAGCCCAGGCGTCCCGGCCCCGCAGCAGTTCGGCTCGGTGAGGGGAAATATGTGTTAACGTTAAATATTTGTCAGAATCCTGTCTTTATTCTCCTTTCATGACTTTGTCCTTGCATACTTTAGCAAGACCTTTCTAGAGGGTTAACTAATCTTTCTCTCAAGACTTCTGAGAAACCTTCAAAACCTTTGGCTACTGAACTACTTAAAACAACTGCGCACTGGTGGGGTTTTAGCAAATGTTTAATCTACTAGATACACACATTCTGAAGCACGAGTACAGTGGAGGGAGTGTGGGGTTTGGGAGAAGACAGACGGTGATGGGTGCTCTCTCGGGTTGGGGACTGATGCATAAAGTGCTGATAAATAACTTAATGTTACAAAAAAAAGGACGGTCCCGGGGAGTTCCGGGGCTCACAAGACACGTGGTCCAGGGTGGCAGGTCGGGGTCAGATGGCCGCGGGCTCCCCATGCATGCCGCGGGAGTGCACCTGCTCCATCTCGCCCGCGTCTGACACATCGTAGCTCGTCTTGTACTTGGCCAGGATCTTCATGAGCGGCCTCAGCTTCAGCCACCACTGCTCCTTGGGGATCCTGTGCCTGAGGTTTGGGGGGGAGGGGGAAGCAGCTGTGAGCACCCCGTCTGCCACCAGGGGGCAGCCCCGCCACAACTGTGGCCGTTGTGGGGTTGGCTAAGTACACTGGCAGAGAAAGCAATTGTCATAGGGAAAATGAAACAGTTACTTTCTTCCTTCTAAAAATGCTGCCCCGTTTCTCAAAGTCTAGTGTTTTGTCGCTCAACTTCGGGAAGCCAGCGGTTCCTCAGCACACCCGAGTGAGCTGCAGCCAGGGACCCACCCGCCCCTGGACCCCGCCTTCCTGTCCCGTTGGCTTACTCAAAGTCCGTTTCCTTCTTCAGCTCTGCCACGGGTTGAAAGAGGACGTTTCTCTTGCTTATTCCCAGCACACAAATGGAATCATCAGTAACAAATCTTTTTCCTGTAAAAATTAAAAAAGAGGTCTGAGAACTAATGACATCCCAGCTGTCAGGCAGAGGACAGCAGGTGACGGAAGGAAAGTTCGCTAATCAGGGAGCAAAGTCACGTGGCGAGAAGAAACCAGACTCCTCAGCCACACCCTGACCTGGCCGGGAGGAGCCAGGGCACGACCCCGTGCTCAGTATGACCCGAGGCCTTCCCAGGGAGGAGGGATCCCAGACCGGAGCTGTCGTGTCTTCACAGAGGAGGTGAATACATACTTCACTAAATGCTGAAAGTTTAATACTAATAAATCTATGCTCCTGAGTGTACACGCTGAGAGGCTGAAGGTTAAGGAGAAGCATCTGTAGCTAAATTGGCAAAAGAAAATAACCCCCCCCCTAAAAAAGCAGAAAGCAATGTAGAAAAACTATTAGAATCAAAGTTTTTGAAAAAAAATTAGGCCAAACTATTTACATTACCATTTCTTTTATAGATTGTGTCATTTTTATGAAGGTCAAATTTTGATCACAGAAATGGAGGGAGATACAAATATAGGCAGAAATAGCCACTCTCAGGAGCAAGTGGGGGCTAGAAATGTTTCGGGGATTAGAAGGAGAACATTATGAAAAATTTTATGCTAACACCTTTGAAAATTTAGATGAATTTTTCATGGAAAATGTAACTTATAGGCCAGGCATGGTGGCTCATGCCTGTAATCTTAGCTCTCTGGGTGGCCGAGGTGGCGGATTGCTCAAGGTCGGTTCGAAACCAGCCTGACCAAAACCCCGTCTCTTCTATAAATGGGAAGAAATTAATTGGCCAGCTAATATATAGAGAAAAAATTAGCCGGGCATGGTAGCACATCCCTGTAGTCCCAGCTAATCAGGAGGATTGCTTGAGCCCAGGAGTTTGAGGCTGCTGTGGGCTAGGCTGACGCCACGGCACTCACTCTAGCCTGGGCAACAAAGTGAGACTCTGTCTCAAAAAAAAAAAGTAACATAAAATTCATTAAAAAAAAAAAGGAATAGTTCTCTAAACCTGAATGAGAGAAATTCATGTGGCAGTCCAGTTTTCCTTGAGGTGGTGGTGGGTGGTTTCACAGGAAGGCCCTTCCAAACATCCACAAGGCAAAGCAGAACTTCCCCAGCACCGGGCAGGGACAGGGCCAGCAGGGATGCTGCTGGCAAAAGCTCCTGGGGGCTGATGCAGGAGGCCTGCACAGGAAGAGCCGCAGGTGAATTAGCAGCGACACCTCCTGAGTAAGTTGACCTATCCCAGGAATGAGAGGCTGCTCTTAACCTTAGAAAGTCAGCCAAACAATTGCCTCGTTTGATGCAAAACGTCTATAAAATGCAGTATCCTTTCATGATGGAAAAATACTTAATGAGCATCTATCAAAGACCAGCATAAATGGCAGAAAGACGCACGCCAGTTCAATATTAGTAAGAATTCTTGGCCACCAAGCACTGGCAGAGTGCGAGATGGCGTCCTGCCGTCCGTCCCCGCGTCTCCTCGGGCTCGCTGGGGAGAGGCACAGCCGGCGAGTACAGGGAGAAGACGGAAGGCACCCCGTGACACAGATGTGAACGTGCGCATGAAGAACAAAATGAATCCGCAGATAAGTGCCAGAATTCAGTGTAAAGACATTGCTGGTTGAAAAACAACTGTCGTGTTGTTTTTCTATATATGAGCAAGAAAAGAGTTAAATACCACTTAGTGTATTTTTTAAAAAATCAAGAACCTAGACGTAAACCTACTAAAAGGTATACAAGATCTTTATGGGGGAAAAAAGATAACAAAAGGTCTAATATATGGAGAGGGATGTAGTGTTCCTGAATTAGAAAGTTCAATATTATAAAAATGTCAATTCTTCCAAATGGTTTAAATGCAGCCCGCGCCCAAAAAAAAAAAAAAACAAAACATTATTTTGGTGGCCCTTGACAGTCTGCACAAAGGGCTAAGGACAACCCCCACACGAGAAGGCAGCCCAGCTAGGGGCTGCCCTAACTACTCTTAACCAGAACTGGAACCTTGGCAGGACAGGTAGTTGACTGCAGTTAAACAAATAACCTGGAAGTAGTTCCTTTATTCACAGATAACCTCATCTGTGATGGAAATTATACTGCAGAGTGAATTATTTTAACTAAATGGCACCCAAGTCATCGATTATCCACGTAGGGGAAGATGAAATTAGACCTTAAACTTCATATCCAGTGCATTAAAGAACTAAACAAAAATGGAGAATAAACTCAACCCACAAAGGAAAAGGTTGGTAAATGCACTAACGTTAGGAAGACTTTCCTGAAAGACAACTTAGAAAAACAGCAGGCACGCCAACAAGACGGGAGAGAGGTGTTTGCACCGTGTGACTGACAAGGTACAAACATAAATAACGACAAACATAACCAACCAGTAGAAAAATAGGCAAGATACTGGGGCAGTTCACAGTAAAACAAGAACATCACGCAAACACGCGAGATGCTGCCATCTCCCCCATCACGGTGAGACCAGCTCACGCCAGCCCGCCCGGCACCCGTGAAGGTCTGAGGGCGTCCTGGCGAGAGCTGGGGAACCACCAAGGGTCTGTGCAACGCGTCCCATGGGAGCCTTCCTGCCACGTGGGCAGAGGGGTCACGCGGCCCCCGGGCAACTAAGTGTCAGGTGGTGGACGCGCATCAACAACGCACACTCTCAGAGCCTCCGGAGAGCGGCATCTCGGGGGAGCAAGGCCAGATGGAAGCCAGGGCGTGGGCGCCATGGCACTCTGAGTTGAGCAAAACAGCCCCAGACAGACATGCTCAGGCTTTGCAGGGGAGGGAGGGAGTCTGGAGACCTCCCGATCTGCCGCTTTCCCTAAGAAGAGACCCTTGGCCTAGTGAGTAAAGCCTCAAGTATCTCAAGTGAGAGAGCATCAAACACCAAAGTGTTCCACGTGGCCAAAGAAGTAAAGGTCACATCTACTGTCCCGTGATTGCAGCCCAGTGTGTGCACCACAACTTCCTGGCCAGGGAAGGGCAAGGAAGCTGCGAAGTTGACTGTCTCCATCCCTGGCGAGCAGGAGTGAAGCATTTCACCTTGTTAATCATGTGTCACTACAAGCCTCACAGTCACAGACTCGGAGACTCTGGACTCGGAGTCCAGCAAGAGAAAGACGCCGCTGCCTACAGAGCTCAGTGTGGGCTGTAAGGACAGGGCCGGGCCAGTCCCAGCCCGGGACCGCGTACCTTTGAACTCCTTCAGCTTCTCGGTGATCCACTCCATGGCTCTGGCGGAGATCTTGGTTCCAAAGTTTCTGTCAAACGGAGAGGGTGCCCCGCCCTGGTGGTGGTGACAGTTACAGGAGATATAATAGTTGTTACACAACAACGCTTCATTCTTAAAAATTAAATCAGAGTCACAACTTATTATTTGACAAAATTCACATCTGTAAAAGACGCAGATGTGTAAATATGGTTTTGTTTTGTCTTCTTTTTTGCATATTTCTTTCTCTTGTGTATAGGCAAGATAGAAAACAAAACAAAACTCCGTGGTCCCGGTAGCCTGAACTCAGCCTGGTGGTACGCAGGTATCACAATTTCCCTGGTGAGACGCGGGTTTTGATCAACTGCACACGCCTCAGTCTTGGTTATTTCAGACTTTCTCATGAGGATTTCTGTGCTCGCTGTGGGTGTGGACAGGTGGCAGTTCCCTTAAGACTCTGATAGCCTGTGGACTCACTTCACAGAAGCACACTCACCTACCTCCGTCGTGTGATCTCCGGATCCACGAGCCCTTTGGGATAAGTCAGTGGGCCCTGGTTTAAAAGTTCCCTGCACGACGAGGACCAGGAGGGCACGAGGGAAAGGCACGCATATGCGGATTAGGAGGCCAGAACCCCACTACATCATGGGGCAACACCCCAAATCCTAAAGCCAGAGCGTGCCCCGTTTTCTGTAAACATCAAGTATTCGTTGTCTCATACTCCCATTTTAAATCTTACAAAGCCCCGATACTGAATTGGAATACAAGTTCGAATAAGTACTTCCAACTCACTCGTGTCACTGTTTGCACAAAAAACTGATAGTTTTCCTTAAAATCCCCTAACATCACAGACGAGAAAGCATCCTAAAGCTGGTGACACGTGGCCCAAGCCTTAAAAAAGCTCAGATGTTCTTATTCATCTTGGAACTTGCGGACACGTTTCTACCCCAGCTGGCCACCACGGCTGCCCCTCCCGCCCCACCTGCTGCATGTGGCCCAGCACGTTCTTCCTGCAGTCGAACACGCCTTTGCCCTCCTCCGAGTACAGCTGGCAGATGAAGTCGGTGGTGTAGTTCTCGCTGCAGCTCTCGTTCCTGAAACGGAAGGAAAGCAGCCGCGTGCGTTTCCAGAGCGGCGGGCAGGGCTCTCTGGCACAGGCTCCCTGGCTCTGGGTGACACGAGGTTTAGACGGCCACCTCGGGTCCTCCTGTCCTCCCGGGACTCTACACCCAGCGGTCCCCCCCGACCCCCCGGCTAGGGTGGTGCTTTCTGCGGTTTCAGTTACCCAGGTCAGCCGGGGTCCGAAAATATTAAATATCATCTATTTCTGGAATTGTCCAAGTGTCACTCTGTGCGCCATTCTGAGTAGCATGGTGACTCCGGCGCGCTGGCCTGCCCCGTCCCGCACCGCCCCTTCGTCCAGCGTCTCCGTGCCGTCTACACCTCCTGCCCGACAGTCCCTCAGTAGCCATCTCAGTCATCAGATCAAGAAAACGGTCTACACGGGGGTCGGTCACTACTGTCCCCGTCTCAGGCAACCACTGGGGCGCTTGGACCGTGTCCCCCACAGATAAGGGGAGGGGCACCTTATTCTCTTCCTCCTTCATAAAGGTCAGGGGCTTAATTAAGGAAATGACTAGGAGACACCCTTTAAAAAACAACAGACTCCAAAGCAAAAGTAAATTTTAACAATCCCCCTCTGATTATTTAAAGGCAGGCAAGGTTTAGACACAAGGCACCGTGACTCTACTTCCTTATTTCTTCAGTAACCCCAACGAGAACCACGAGGCCGACTCAGAGCTCGGCGTAAGGAGGTGGTCAGGGGGGAAGGGGTCCTGTTACCTGAGCACGAGCCCCCTCTGGATCGTGGTCTTCATCTTCTCCGTCAGGTGCTCCACGTTCGCCTGCAAGAGAACGTCTTGTTACTTGGATGGTGAACTCGGACCGGGCGGCCGTGGAGAAGTAGGCGCCGCGTCAGAGGCCTGGAGATTCAGAAGCAGCCACACCAGAGGGAAAGAACAATCCCTGGGAAACCACGACTGCTGGGGACCACCTATTGGTGGCGGCTCAGCCACAGGGACGGAGGATCGGCCTGTGGACACTGGGGACGGGTGATTAGTTGTGCTATGAACCTAAAACTGCTCTGAAAGATAAAGTCAGCTATTTAAGAAAAACAGATACAGGCCGGGCGAGGTGGCTCACGCCTGTCACCCTAGCACTCTGGGAGGCCGAGAGAGACGGGCGGATTGCCCGAGCAAGAGCGAGACCCCCGTCTCTACTAAAAATAGAAATAAATTACTTGGCCAACTAAAACTGTACAGAGAAAAAAAATCAGCCGGGCATGGTGGCGCATGCCTGTAGTCCCAGCTACTCGGGAGGCTGAGGCAGGAGGATTGCTTGAGCCCAGGAGTCTGAGGTTGCTGTGAGCAAGGCTGACGCCACGGCACTCTAGCCCGGGCAACAGAGTGAGACTCTGTCAATCAATCAATCAATCAATCAATCAAAATAAATAAAATCAATTAACAAACACATATTCTAAAAGCAGCCCGCAGCGGGGAGAAGCGGTGAGCTCGCTTCCCATTTGTTCCTCAGTCTACACTGGCGCCATCATCCTCGCACAAGGACAGGCACCACCGTGCCCAACGCTCTGGCCGCCTGCGGGGCACCGAGCCATCCCCGACAAAACTCGGCCTCTCTCGGCGGACAAGGGCTGGTTCTCTGGGGCGCTCTGAGATAGGAAGTTCCCGCGGGCTGCTGCAAAGCCCCCCGGCCCCAGAGGAGGACGCAGGGCCCGGGCCGGGCGCCTGCAGTCCACGGCTTGCAGCGTCAGATCCCACAGAACGAGCCAGTGTCGCCTTCCAGCGGTTCACGGCACACGCGGGGAACACGACGATGTGAGGGACTCACTCACAGGCAGAACGGCCAAGCCTGTGTGGGCAGGCCCTACGCTTGGGGGAACGCCCCGGGGCATGGCAGGCGCAGGGGCCGGCCACGTCCACACTGTCCCCATCTCCAGCCCCTCAGGGAGCCGGGCAGACGCCCGCCGGTGCCACTGCGCGTGGGCTCTGCCGTGAGCAGCACCCACGGAGGCCCAGCCCCCCCCCACATACCTGCAGGTCGCGGATGTCAAAGGGCTCCTCGAAGATGTAGGCGGCGTCGGCGCCGGCCGCGAGCGCGCCCATGTTGGCCAGGTAGCCGCAGTAGCCGCCCATGGTCTCGATGATGAACACGCGCCGCTTGGTCCCGCTGGCCGACTGCTTGATGCGGTCGCACGTCTGTGCACGGGTGAGACACCGGTCACTCCGCGCCAGCGCCGGCCCCGAGCCCCTCCCCCCAGCCAGAGAACACGGTTGTCAGCGCCGGACACAGGTGAGGGGGTCGTGCAGCCGCCCGCGGGCGTCTGGGGTGACCCCGGGCAGGGCCTGGCCACCCCGCACCCCCGTCCTGGGCAGCACAGAGAGGGGACCCGGGAGCTGACCCTACTCTGGCCTCCGGACCTGTCCCCGCTAACCATTAGCACCTGCGCATTCAGGTTTTAGGGACGCGTCAACGCTCCGGCTCAGCGGGTGGCATTCACCGGGCCATTTCTCTTTCTCCAACAAGCTCCCCGGGGCGTTGGGGTTTGGTCACCTTCAGCCCCTCCACGAGTGTCACACCACGTTAATGTCACCTCCACCCCACGGCAGACGGTGGCTCCCGAGGACAGAGGCGTCCGCCAGGGACGTCTTCCGGACACGCAGGCGTCCGGCCTCCAAATGAGACGTCCGCCACCCTCCCGCCGACCCCTGTCCAGGCCACCCGGCCCTCAGCCCCCGCGCCGGACACCTCCAGCCCGTCACGCCACACTGAGAGCCACCGGTGACAGACGCCAGGCTCCTGTCCCAGCGTCTCTAACTACGTCTCCCTCGAGAACACGCCAAGGCCTTGTGCGGGACCTGTCCCCGCCTGCCACGCTCTGTCCTCCTCGGGCAGGTCCCCGCCCAGATGTCCGCTATGCCCCGTGGGGGCCAGAAGGCGGCCCCAGCTGTCCCGGTCCTCATCGGGGCCCTGACACGGTGATTGAGGTCTCTCGAGGGGAGATCACCGGGATCCTCCAAAGGGGGCCCTGAGGACCGTCACCCCTGTCCTCATGACCTGGGGCGAGCGGCCACCTGCGGCTGGGGACGCTGGGCGAGGCGCGAAGGCCCCCCTGGCCCCCCCAGCGCCGTGGGGCTGAGTGTTGTCCCCAAGACCCTGAGTTCATGGTCACTGGTTACGGCGGCCACAGGACGCTGCCCGGCCCCGACTCCAGAAATCGGCACCTGGTCTCTAGGACCGACTGTTCCCCGTGAGGGAGGCGTCACATCCCGGGCGTCTCTGCCGTCACTGTGCACGCACGTGTCCTGGCTTGGGCGTCTCCTCCTCGCCAGAGTCCCAGGAGGCCGGGAGCCACCAGCACCCAGCCCCGCCCCGGCACAGCCACTGAGTGACGCGGCCGTCACCAGCGGGTCCAGGGCTGTCAGGGCTCCCTGAACTAGTCCCCGAGGAGACACAGCCGGTGGGGGACGGGGGCTCAGGGTTGTGGGGGGAGAGGGCAGAGGTCACAGGTCTGTGCACCAAAGCACACCACCAGCTCGGAGATTTTCACTGAAGGACTCCGGGTTAAATTCAAAAGAGCGCTTTGATCAACAAACAGGCTGGAATAAAATGATCCCAATCTGTGCTTCTAATTTCTCTGACGGGTTCGCATCCTCCCCAGACAATTAGCCGGCTGACTGGCACTTTGGCGGGCAGCGTGGCGTCCTCCCCAGTGGGGCTGGGAGACGCGACGGGCCCAGGGCTCACCTGTGTGCAGACGGGGACAGGGCGGAAGCCGTCCAAGCACCTGCAGGGCTGAGCACCGCCCGCCCGGGGGCCGGGGTGCAGGACTCCGGGGCTCCCCGTTTAATTGGTGTGGGGTCTCCCAAGGTGGCCCCGAGTATATCACTGCTCTACCTAAGGCCCCACTGCTTGGCCTCCGCCCCGGAGACTGTGGGGTGGGAGGGCCCCCCCCCAGGGTGCAAACCTCGGGGGTTGCTTTCCTGCCTGCACCTCCGGACCTGCCACCTGCGGTGGGGAGTGACTGCCGGCGACGCAGAGAACAGCACATCGCTCGGTGGTGGGTACTGCCGTCGGGAGGCCGGCGTGTGCACGTGTGTCTTAGTCCCCTCCAGCCAGGCCACCGTGGGGCAGAGGATGAGGGAAGACCTGAGTGGGCCTGGGCACCGAGCCCAGGGCCGGCTCTGCCCTGAGTCACAAATATCATGTTTCCCCAAAAATAAGACCGGGTCTTATATTCATTTTTTCCTCAAGAAGACACCCTAGGGCTTATTTTCATGGGATGTGTTATTTTTTTTTTAAGTATGGTACAACCATCTACATTGATTCAAATAGAGTTGAGTCATCTTCTGGATCATCATCCTAAATCTCCAAACCCCGAAATTCCATCCTGAATTTCTTGTGACTCTGTTTCCTTTGCAAGCACTGGCCCCAATCTCTCACGTCGAGCAACAGAGCTCTCACGGGGCAGATGGGAAGGGCTGCTCGTCTTCTTTCCCGCTCCGCAACAGAATGCACGGGTTGTGCAGATGCGCTGCGCAGCCACGCCCGTCACTAGGTCTTATTTTCGGGGTGGGGCTTCTATCGCGCACATGCTTAGAAATCCTGCTGGGGCTTATTTCCTGGGTAGGTCTTATTTTCAGGGAAACGCGGTAGTGACAGCTAGGCTAGGACGGTCTGCCTCTGCTCGGAGCTTAAACCTGCCGTTTCTAAACACTCTGCCATTACCCGATGGCAGCGAAAGGCTGGAGCGGTTTCCTCTAAGCAGAGCGAGCTGTCCCCGCCCCTGGTGCTCAATTACCAGACGCACTGCTGGTCGGGCACGGGCCACGGGGCAGCTGCCGCCTGCCACACGGGCACACAGGTAGGAGGAAGGCGGGCACAGACGGTCCTGCCCCCTCGCCCAGCTCAGGGACAGCAGGCTGGGGTGGGATTGACCTCCAGGACTGTCCCTTGGAGGAAGAGCTCCAAGCTGCAGTTCCAACATCACTAACACTTTGCTAACGTGATTTTTTTTTAAGAACCATGAACCCCAAAACGTGCAAAGACGAGGTGGAGTTTGGGGGCAGGAAGAAGCCCTGACTCTGTCGCTCCAAGCTGGGAGGCCGGGTGCCCCGGGGCTGGGTGTCCCTGAGAAGCTGAGCCGTCTGCAGACATGGGGCTACCAGACGGGGCAGGGACCAGCAGCAAAGCACAACTGCCCAGCGGGAGCAAAGCGGGGCTCAGGCCCCAGCCGTGAAGCGCGTGCGGGGGCGCGAGGGTTAAAGCGTGTGCACGTCAGCAAGGCACGGGAGGGGAGGAAACCCTGGGACCGGCCTGGGCCCCATGCAAGGGACTCGGTGCAAGGGCAGGGGGTGCAGTGGGACGAAGGAGCCCCCGACTCCCCCGCACGGGGCCGTGGCCGGCTCCACGACCCAGCTGCCTCGCAAGCGTCACCCAAAGGGCCCCGTGTCACGTCCCACTTGTAGGGCGATGCAGACAGGGTCTCGCTGAGACAGAGGACCTGCAAATGCCCGTCCTGCTCTGCCCCGTGCGGACGTGCAGCCACGCGCCCAGGGGGACAAACACTGCAAAGGCGCTCGGCTCCTTTTTTGGGGGGGGGGCGAGAAACCGCCCAGCCGGCGACGCCAGGAGCGGAAGCAGCTCTTACCTCCATCACCGTGTTCAGGCTAGTGTCACTCCCGAGACTCACTTCCGTGCCCGGGACGTTGTTGCTGATGGTGGCAGGCACGACACAAATGGGCACGCAAAACTCCTCGTGCTGGGCTCGCGCGTCAGCGATGCTGACCACGCCTTCGTAAGCCTGGAGCAGCAGGGCCAAGCGGTTAGCGGGCAGCGTGGGCGTCCCGGCCGGTCCCCCCGCGCGGAGGGTGTCCGGGAGGTGGCGGGAAGGGCCTCGGTCAGCCAGGGGAAGCGTGTTTTCCATGCGGGCCAAGCGGGCCAAAGGGCGCGGGGTGAGCCACACGTGTGGTCGGAGTGGGCACAGCGCGCAGCAAAGCAGGCGGCAGGCAGCGGGCCGGGCGGCCGGCGTGTTAGTCACTGGGCGGAAGGAACGGCTCATCCTGGGCGTCCCGGGTTGGGGGTGAGGCGAGGACGGCCGGGTAGGTCGGAAAGTTTAAGTGCAATGCCGTTCCTGGGAGCTTCTGCAGGTAAGCGGGGGACAGGAAACACGGCTGTGACAACATCAAGTGACTGACGTCACCATGCATGCAGAGGCCACCTGCAGGCAGGCAGGCAGGCAGGCAGGCGGGCACGGGGGACGGGCATGCTGTTGGATTCTCCCAGAAAGCGGGACAGAACAGCAAGACCCAAAGAGAAACTGTTGGGCCCTGGCGCCACAAAGGCGAGCCGTTCCTGGGTGGGGACAGAGGCCTTTCGCCGCCTGTCCTGGGTGTTAAGCCGAGTTAGTAGAAAAAGACGCGGGTCCTGGCCCCACTGCCTCTAAAACCCAAGCAGCTCCACACACCGCTGTGTCCGTAATCCGCTTGGTGGTGAAGCCCACCCACCACTCACGGTCTTGCCTCTCTTTCCCCGAGGCCCTGCACGCCTCGCTGCAGAAATGCTAGCATGGGCGCAGGGCATCCCCCTGCCTCCCGGGCCGAGACCCTGCAAGGTGGCTCCCGAGCTGGAGCCCCGTGTGGCCGGGCACCGGGCAGTGGGGCGTGGACCCGCGCGCACCTGTTAGTTCTCAGGCGGTCGGCAGAGGGAGGACACAGATAACACTCAAGCGGGTCCCCCGGCCTCCACGTCCACCTGAGACTGGCGTGTGACCCTCCCCAGCTCTCCCTGCCTCTCGGACTTTGGCAGTTATGGCAGGACTACGTCCAAAATGACAGAGTCCTGCAGGACGGGGGACACTCACTGGCTGGGGCCGGGATCCTGACCCATGCAATCTGCTACGGGGTGGCTCCTGAGTGCTCTTTGGGGCCGGCGCTGTCACTGGCTTTGCCGTGGGTTGGGGTGGGGACCCTGCCCAGGACAGCGTGAGACTCCAAAGATGAGGACGAGCCCCGGGCCCCGCAGGCAGCAGCAGTGGCTCTACCTGCTTCCGGCTCCAGGGACGAGGATTTTGACATCCACTGAGCCACCTCGGGCACTCGCTGGCCACGCTGACGGCGGCCTTCCTCCCTGTGGGATCCCACTCAAGGCCACGGGCAGGGCCACCAGCGGGAGCACTCGGCCTGCTGTGGTGCGTTTG